TCTGTAGGAAATAAAAAGCTATTTTATAATAAAAACAAATGCATCACGTAACAGTAAGAGTAAAAAAATTGTAAGGACGGTTGAAAATTAACTAGTTTCTGTGTCCAACAAAGTGGTCAAATCACGTTACAAAAACGAACGACTCGAAAGGATTAGTACACCTGAGTCTTTCCCATGACTCGAGAACATCGGGTATTCTCAGAAGTGGAGTACACACCAGTCTGTCACAGGGCTGACACTAAGAGACACACACGTCATACCGCCCAATTTAAAAACATTCCAAGCTTTAAAGTCTGTTAAAAAGTCATTTTTATTGCAAAACAATATATACCAGGAAAAAAAAGCACATCAAAACTTGCAAATGAGATACTCGGTGAAGGCTGTCATCGACCCCCAGGCTGCCGCAGACACCAGGAGGACCATCTCACCTCCAACCCTGAGGGGACACAGTACAGTCTATGCCATTCTTTCAAAAAAAAACCTTATGTTTGGCTAAATTTGTTAGAATTAGGCACTGAAGATGCTTTGTAAGGGCAGCACCAGGGGATATGGGGTGGTAAGTGGTTAATGCCCTACCTTTAAACTTGCACAGTCACAGTACACTGCAAAGTTTAAAGTGTTTCAGGAATCTTGCCGTGTCCTATTTGCGAACTGCCACCATGATGCAGAGCTTGAAAGTTGACCTTTTCTTTGTTCTCTGAATCTTTTTACAACATTTTAAGTAATAATATGATACAAATCTAATCTGCATTTAACTTTTAAAGTCACAGTAGCTTGAAACATTCAAAGTATCTTGCTTCAGCTATTGTCCATAGAATACTAGCCCACAGTCCAAAGACATGCAGCTTAAGACGACTGGCGAATCTAAATTGGCCATAGGAATGAGCCTGTCCAGGTTGTACCCTCTCTCTCATCCAATGTCAGCAGAGATGGCCCCCACCACATGTGACCCTCTTCGCTAAAAGACTACTAGCTCAAATATATACGTCTTTTGTGAGCAAAAAGTGAGAGTTCACTTGAAGCAGTGCATACTGAGCCAGAGCAGTATAGATAATGGATGGATGTTTTGCAATATGCCTACTGACAGACTAAGCATTTTAAGAAATAATTTTAGACTACTAACTTTAGGGTGGGTGTTTATAATGCTATCACCATGACAACAGAAAGAAAGCATTTATTTGCCAAATTATCTGACCAGACTGAGGAAACACAACTGGGCCATTTGCATCACTCACTGCCAGTAAAGATCTCATGCAAATGACGCTGACAGTCAGGAAGCTAAAACAAATGATAACTGAAAGCCACAGTTACTGTTAGAATGCATGCACATTTAAAGTATCAAAAGCAACCCTTGCAAAAAAGGAAAAGGCTGTACTCTATACGAGTCAATTTGCTGGGGTATAAAGAAGAAATGTGTCCATTTTGTAATGCTGTGGTATGTTTTCACTCTGGGTCCTTATTTTGGATCCTCAATGGTTCCCTTGCTGAGGTCTGTCATTTTAGGATACTTTACTTTCTTTTGGTCAAGTTCATTTTGAGCCCATAGCAGCAGCTTCAGCAGTTTGGCCAGCTTAGGTGTTGACTCTCTGTTTTCATAGTCATTTTTATAAAATTGAAAAACCTCAAAAGACAGTAAAAATAAAAAAAAAAAAAAATCAGCATAGTCTGAACTGTCCTGACCTTTAGGTCCCTTTAGCTGTGACATTGAAAACAGTGGATCCAACACAATGGCTTTCTTTTATTAAAACCTTCTTGTCTATTAAATACCATCAGTTTTTTTTAATACCAAGAGCTAATTTTGCAGCAGGAGCCTCAAGCCTGATGCTGTCACCAGGGTAGCTTTGGATTGAACATGTGTAAAACATGTGTTAAAGAAAGCAAAAACAAATCAGGGGTTTCATATGAAATGAATTAAATAATTATATTTAAAAAAGAAAAGCTGATTAAAACTGTAGCACTAACAAGGAATACTATCCTCATGCTACAGAAAGCACATTTTTTGAGATCATGAACTTCAAATGACCTGTAATATATTATTTATTATATATTAATTTAATCAGGAAATTTCATTCAGATCAAAATCTCTTTTGCAAGAGAGACCTGTGTACTGCAAGGGAAACAAACTGAAATAAAAAACATGACAAAACTAGTTAACACATACAAAGAGACTGAGTTTAAACTAATCTGTTCCTTGTGAGATGTGAGTAAAATATTCACCCTACCTTCTGTCTCTGCATCATATTGAGCAGGTCTCCAAAAGGCGAATCCTCGGGGTTGTCAAATGCCAGCAATGCCAGTGTCCTTTCCATCTCGGTCAGACACTCTCGGCTTTCTTCCCCCTGCTCTGCTAACTGAGACTGAGCAAATTCAAGGGCAGCTTCAGTCTCCCTCAAACGGATCAGCTCAATCAGGTGCTGCTGCTGCAAATAGAAAAGGCCAGAAGGTGTAACAGGGAATGAAAATAACACACACAGGAAGACAGGCAGTACAAACTATACTGATTATATTGCTAAAAGTGCAAAGCCTAAATGTCTGCTAAGTGAGGGGCACTGTGTTTTATTTTACCTGTAGGTAAAAGTAGAGGTAACGGTTTGTATCCAGCAGCTCTGGGTGTAGACTGTTAATCAATGCAATGGCATCCTGGATCTGCCCCTTCAGGATCATCTCTCTGATCTTAATTCTTTCATCTAGGGAATCCAAATCCACACTAGGCTCAATTCCAGACTCCATCCGGAACTTCTCCGCTGCCTCCTTGAAGCCCTCTGTTGAACAGAAACCATGGACAAATCCTGCACATTCAAGCACCACACTAGTCAAAAATTAAAATCAAACTCAGAGCAATAAGGAAAGAAAAAAGGTACTTTACCTGTCACCAGGTAGTTCATAATGAGCCTGTTCATATCTGTTCTCTGAATGTGGACATTGTTGAGTTTATCCATCCACTCTTCCCTTGTTATGTCCTCCGCCTTCTCTGCATAACTCATAATGATAATATCCTAAAGGAGTACAGTTATACACATATATAATTCGGTTGTGAGTTGACAAAATGACATTTCAGAAGAGAGAGCACTCACCTCATGCCAAGAACAATTATATAACGTTATAACTGTTTTTCAGTTTGACAGCAACATGGCACCGGCCTTGTGTTGAAATCTGTTCCCCCCTTTTAAAACTGGGTTTCTAGAAGCGCACCCATCTGTGGTTATGGTTCGGATAAGGTCAGGGTTCAGGTCAGGGGAAACGCATCTCCACGGAGGAACAGATCTCGACACAACACCGGAAATCCTAAATTACAGCAGCTTTGGCGTTCGATGAAGAAAACAACATTAAGCCTGATTTTCGTCAACGCGAATCAAAACAAAGACACTTCCGCCTTTCTATTCACTGATCTCAAATACACACCAGAACAACACATACATCATTCTGTTTACCGTCTTCTATCAATACGCATCGACACGCCCATGAAAATGTAATGGCTACTTAACTCACATTACCTGAAAGATTTCTCACTACTTCCCAGTAGCTAGCTTGCTAGCGGAAGTCGGGGGGGTTCTTCTTCGTCCCCTTCCTCTTGTCAAATGTCTAGTAGCGTAAACTACAAGCTACGCACGTACTGCTGCCCCCTACTTTTAATTAAAATCATTGCGTGAGTACATGACATCTGGAGCTGTAAATATGACCACACAATGTGTAGAACCCTGAACAAAACGCATCCAAAACGTTAGCTATACGTATCTTATTCTAGCAATCCTTAAACATTTTAAAGAAAAACTATAACGTATCAAGATTTTTAGGGTCTTGTTTGATGGTAGGTAGATAGGTCTTTATTGATCCCACAGTGAGAAAATTCCTGTGTTCCAGCAGCAAAAGAGGACAAACAACATGATGATGATATCTGATGGGGAATAATATAAATATAATTAGTCTTGTTGCAATGAGTCATACAATAGGTTATATAACACATAATAAAGATCTTATTAACAGGCCTACATCGGTCTGCATGCGTTTCTCTAAGAGCAAAACAAGGCAATAAAGTAGATATTTATTTATGTACAGCCTACTATATATTTGAGGTAGTTGCACTTGAATATTTTCTTTTCATGCCACTTTATGCTGCACCACATTTCAGAGGGAAATACTGTGCTTTTTTACTGCACTAAATTTAGATTTTATGGCTATAATTATTAGGCTAGATCCGCTTTTTGAAAGAAACAAGAAATTGATCCGGCCAGTGGGTTAAGTATGGTTTAATGTTATTATTGCACAGGTGTGGGTCTTGTCCCTCAGGGTTCCATTAAAACGATGCCCCTCTCAGTGGTGGCTCCATTTGCTCTTTAGATTTAACATAGGCCATATGTCTAGCAGGAGGCAAACAGCTGATGGGGTTTAATTGACAGAAATCAACATGTTTGGTTGTGTGTGTGAGTACGTATGTGTTACTGTGTGTGTGTGTGTGTGTGTGTGTGTGTGTGTATCAGTGAGCTAATGGTAGATCCTATAAAGGGTCAAATCAGGAAGGAAAAGAAAAAAGGAGGAGGCCAATAGGGAAGGGATGCAGTGACACAGAGAGATGTTAATAGCAATGAAAGAAGAGAAGTTCATAATAGAGAAAATTGTTGCAAACTCAAAACACAGTTTAGCATTGGCCGACATCAATGCGTGAACATGTTTCCTTCATTTTGAAGCCAACATTCTTAATTGTTAACACTGCTGTGTACATACTGTAGTCATCTTGTTTCATCTAGCTTCACAGAGATACTGCCCATGTAAAATTACCTGTGTCAGAGAGCTGATCTGGGCTCAGGAGGGGACTCAAAGCAAATGAGAGTGCATACATTGCTATGAGATCTGCCATACCAAACCACTTTATGCTCAGAAATATTTCTTGGATACATTTTGAAAACTAGAATGGTTAAAAGTACCTGGAGGGATAACCCAAAGTTAGGCTAACAGGCACAACGCAATTAGCACATAAAGCCTGTCAATGGCTCTCAATATCATAACCCTCTAAGGACTGGAAGTCTTACAAAGCCTTCTGATCTATTACTACAAAGTCATTAATCCTCCCCACACAATGACCAGGCTCTATATTATTTGGTAACCCTTGATGGCAGTTTAGCTTTGCCATAATTAGCATTCAGATCAGAGACTGGAGCGAAAGCCCCTCCACCAGAGAGGAAGGACGAGATGAAATGGTGAATGAAAGTTCATTAACTCGATGTTAATTACTAATTAATGGGACTATTTCATTTACATGATACATACAGAGATACTCTGGCTCTGATGGGTCCTGCCTTTACTGGGTTACTCTTACCAGCCGACAAGCTCGGGGAGGGTTTATCTCCCCTCCCCTCCACACTCCCCTTCCAGTGTTTCATCACTGCTAATTAAATAGTGGGCAACTCATCATACAGTATTGTTCAAAATAATAGCAGTACAATGTGACTAACCAGAATAATCCAGGTTTTTAGTATATTTTTATTGCTACATGGCAAACAAGTTACCAGTAGGTGCAGTAGATTCTCAGAAAGCAAACAAGACCCAGCATTCATGATATGCACGCTCTTAAGGCTGTGCAATTGGGCAATTAGTTGAAAGGGGTGTGTTAAAAAAAAATGGCAGTGTCTGCCGTTGACTGTACAAACACAAAACTATGTTGTACAAATGTTTTTGTTTCTAGGATTTAGCAATCCTGTGAATCACTAAACTAATATTTAGTTGTATGACCACAGTTTTTTATAACTGCTTCACATCTGTGTGGCATGGAGTCAACCAACTTGTGGCACCTTTCAGCTGTTATTCCACTCCATGACTCTTTAACAACATTCCACAATTCAACCGAAATAACCTTGGAAATCAACTGGACTTGGAATTCCAATGGAATTCTTGGAATTCCAAGTCCAGTTGATTTCCAAGGTTATTTTGGTTGCGGTTTACTATTACCTGGATGACTGAGAATCTGCACAGATATTCCACAATTCATTTAAATTTCTTGGTTTTGCTTCAGAAACAGCATTTTTGATATCACCCCACAGGTTCTCGATTGGATTAAGGTCCGGGGATTGGGCTGGCCACTCTATAACATTAATTTTGTTGGTTTGGAACCAAGACTTTGCTCATTTACTAGTGTGTTTGGGGTCATTGTCTTGTTGAAACAACCATTTCAAGGGCATGTCCTCTTCAGCATAAGGCAACATGACCTCTTCAAGTATTTTGACATATGCAAACTGATCCATGATCCCTGGTATGCGATAAATAGGCCCAACACCATAGTAGGAGAAACATGCCCATATCATGATGCTTGCACCACCATGCTTCACTGTCTTCACTGTGGCTTGAATTCAGAGTTTGGGGGTCGTCTCACAAACTGTCTGTGGCCCTTGGACCCAAAAAGAACAATTTTACTCTCATCAGTCCACAAAATGTTCCTCCATTTCTCTTTAGGCCAGTTGATGTGTTCTTTGGCAAATTGTAACCTCTTCTGCACGTGCCTTTTTTTTAACAGAGGGACTTTGCGGGGGATTCTTGAAAATAGATTAGCTTCACACAGACGTCTTCTAACTGTCACAGTACTTACAGCCTATCATTTTTTGCACCTCTTTATAGGTTTTCCCCTCTCCAATCAACTTTTTAATCAAAGTACGCTGTTCTTCTGAACAATGTCTTGAACGACCCATTTTCCTCAGGCTTTCAAATGCATGTTTAACAAGTGCTGGCTTCATCCTTAAATAGGGGCCACCTGATTCACACCTGTTATTTCACAAAATTGATGACCTCACTGATTGAATGCCACACTGCTATTTTTTTGAACACACCCCTTTCAACTAATTGCCCAATTGCACAGCCTTAAGAGCGTGCATATCATGAATGCTGGGTCTTGTTTGCTTTCTGAGAATCTACTGCACCTACTGGTAACTTGTTTGCCATGTAGCAATAAAAAATATACTAAAAACCTGGATTATTCTGGTTAGTCACATTGTACTGCTATTATTTTGAACAATACTGTAATTGTCTACTTTTACAACACCATTTTCTGTCACTGAAAGCACTCCAATAAGCGCCTGACCAAGTTTAAACCACAATTGCTCCCCAACAGTTTGGACCAATCACATTTTTTCATATAAATGTTGTGTACTGCTAAGCTGAAGTTAGTCTGTTTATCCTAAACAGATGCTTATTTTGATACGTTAATGCATAATAAATTTCATATAGAGAAATATATCCTTTTATTAGTCTTCTCTTTTCAAAATAAATGGACCTTTTTCTTACACCACCTCTTTAACACCACATCTGATTTTTGTATGAACTGTACATTAAAAGCCAAATTCACTGCCAGCACCCACCCCTCCACTGACTTCTGACTTATTACTTTCACTCACCCCCCTTCTTTTCTTTGCCACAAGCCATCTGTCTCCATGGCAACCAGAGCCATTCAGTCCCATGAGAAGGAGTGGGTTGGGTTGACTAGCATCTGGCCAATCACACATGGGCAGTGCCAGCTAGGCACACGGCATCCTGCCATATGGTGCCACCACATACGTCCTGCTGGCCCGGACTCGTGATCTGGGCCTGTAAGTGAGCTGCTCGTGTGAACAGGACAAACGTGCACTACTGAGACTGAGAAGCTGTCAGTTTAATAGCAGAAATCATTTCATCTTTGACCTGTATGTATAGGTTTATGAAAATGCTTTCCATGTAATAGTAATATTTGCTAGAAGCTGAAAGTCATCCAAATAAAAATGCCACAGAAAAGTCTTCCATTCCCCTTTGGAAGCTAGATGGCAGGATGCTCTTTCATTACTGATACTGTACTGCTTCTCTGTGGCACTACACAAGAAATACATTCAGATAGTGCAGCATATTGAAACAACTTCCCTGCTGACAAAATATAGTGTTATTTAAAATGTATACACTGAATTTAAATACAGCATAATTTAAAAGCACTGGAATACTGCATTTTCTCACATCAGTGTTTTAGTTGTAATCATACATACATGCTCTTTCTCAAAAACTATTTGTCAGAAGGCTTTCAGACTCCTGGAGTGAGAGATATGTTGCTGGACAGAACTCCAGCTATTTATGTACATGTTTACATTTTCAGCACAGCAACATAAAAAAAGGGATAAGCAATGAAGGCAGTTGTAAATAATGCACATCTGAGCTCGGATAGAGCTAGATATGTCAGGAATATGTGGAATTGGTGGAAAGTCTGAAAAACTAAAAGCTGAAAGGTTTTTCTAACACAAAATAGCTCCTTTGCCTGCCGTGGATTGAAATGAAACGGTGTGAAGCCTCTAGGTGTAGATGTTACTTCTGGCTCAGACTGGACAGCGCAGGTCAGAAGAGAAAAAAAAGTGAGGACACTAGACTTACAGAAAGAGGTCTGTTGGCTTTTCCATACTGTTTTGTCATCAAACTGAATAGAATTTTTTTCTCTTACTACAAAAACTTTAAATGAACAAAAATCATTAAGCCATAAAAATATATGTAATCAAAATAATTAACTAAGGTTTTTCTATTACATGAAATCACACTGAAAGAAAATCAAAATAGTTAAAAACCTTTGGTTTTCCTACTTGCATCATACGCTTCCAGAATGCATTCACTCAAATCCTAAAGCTTTCCATGCTGTACTTCCACTACCAGACCCAGAGCCAATCAAATGCCCAGATGTTATATCCAGGTGTTTTTCATGTGCTTCTTGCTATCCACTGGCTAGTTCTCTGGTGTGGATAAAGCCCTTGATGCTGGCTGCCCAAGGTCACATTTCCTTTGGGAATAAACTTCTGGTCCCTGTGAGTGATGCTTCAGATGCGGATGTTGTGGTGGCAAACTTTACTAGGATCAATGTCGACCCGGCGGGCCTCAGCAAAACCCAGGAAGGTGCAAAGGCCCAGCAGGTTGACTGTAGTGATGAGGGCAAACATAGATGCCCACGAGCTCGTGGCTTTGATGAGATACCCCGAGAAATACACATTAAGACCCCTGCACAGGAACACACAGCATATTACCACGAAGACAAAAACAAAGCAGACACTATATTCCATGTAGTCATTCAGTTCAGATCTCCACAGAGGAAATGACACAGACCATTCACTGTCAGCCTCTGTTGCCTGTATTATTCATCAGACACAAACTAAACCATGGTCCCTTGATGAAATATGCCTGGCACATAGAAGGCAGCATGACTGACAAGAGACTTGTCAGCTCAAAATTTATATTTAGAGTAAATAAATTGTGACATGGTGGATTTTAAATGCAAAACCAATCATTTAGCAGCTGCTGATAAAAGATTAATCACAGATATTTCTTTTCAGTGTCTCTGCCATAAACTCACCTGTATTCATAACACCTGTAAAAGAAAAGCATCATCGAAAATGTAAGACAGGTTTAAATAATTATCAGTTAGCTGTTTAAAGGTGTCATATTTACCATCATTTTATAAAAAGTTTTAAGGAAGTTTAGATACATTTTTTTAAACTTACCAAACAAAGCTCCAGCACAGGATGGAGCAAGATCTTGTACATTTACAAATACACCACTGTAAAAGATAAACATCATTAACTATTTCATCTTATAAACTGAGCCAGGATAAAAACAATAATCAGCCAAACAAGTAACAGTCATACTATATGATAAAATAAATATAAATACATTGTAAATTATATTTTGTTTCTAACATGCCATCATCTGTTGTATATTTTGTACTAATCAGGTCAGGAACCTGAATGAGAAAAAGCATTTTCTTTCTTTAGCTCATTAAATGAGTTTTGCTGTGGCTCTGGAGGGAAATGACCAGAACCAAGAACTCACCCAGCTGAGTAAAAGCTTAGACATCACTGAATTTAATTAATAATACACAATAAAACATAACTAAGCACTGATTTGAATTTAGGCCTACATCATAAAAATCCCCAAATGAACAATAGCACAGTGTAACTGAGCTGAGACCTGCTGTTAATGAACCACTATAATCAACATTCAAATGTAAACTCCTCCAGCAGCACATGAAATGTTGATACCCCTACTTTTTTCTACTGTATATCCATGTTGTTCGTTGTAATTGGTTGCTGTTGCAGTATGTGTATTTATACTCCTCTAGCTGGTTATTCTCTAAGGAGATTCTAATGTAAATGAACTTTACTGTAGATTGCTTCATGTTTAAAGACTAGAAAATAGTTTGACTGTAATCTATATGAAAAAAGATGTAATAAATATTCTGAAATTCCATAACTATAAACTTTGCAGGGTAGAGCCGTTTCATCACAGCAAGAAGGTTCCGGGTTTGCGACCTTTCTGTGCGGAGTTTGCATGTTCTCCCCGTGCTTGCGTGGGTTCTCCCCCTGGGTACCCCGGCTTCCTCCCACTGTCCTAAGACATGCGGCTTAGGTTGATTGGTGACTCTAAATTGCCCGTAGGAGTGAATGTGTGTGTGTGTGTGTGTGTGTGTGTGTGTGTGTGTGTGGTTGTTTGTCTGCGTGTTGGCCCTGCGATGGACTGGCGACCTGTTCAGGGTGTACCCCGCCTTTCGCCCGATGCCGGCTGGGATTGGCTCCAGCACCCCCGTGACCCCGTTCGGGACTGAGCGGTATAGAAAATGAGATTAGAAATGAGATAAACTTTGCAGTCATTTTTAATACCACAACAAATACACTGGATGTCTCTACACCACTGTAAATGTTTAACTACTGAAATAAATACAGATTCTTCTATTTTATGTTGTTTTGAATAAATGATCTTTAACTTTCAGTTAAACTTGTGGCCTTGTGTGTTTGTCCCCACATGAACTGAGTGGATCTTTTCAATCCATTTTGTGGCACAGGTGAAGGTAATATGTACATACTATTTACATGCTTAGTTTTAGTAATTAGAGTGATACAATTTCAAGCTTGTCCACCTTGTGACAAGTCAGCTGCATCCATTAATGGGACATGGGTCGGCTGTTATTGTGGGTTCCTGGGACTCCTTCCTGCTTCTTTGCAGCTTTGGCATGATTGGAGGTGCAGGGTGACTCACAGTAACGTGGCTGCCTTCGTCTGGCTGCAGATCAAAAACAGAAACCTTGTTGATGCTTCATATTTAAGCTCTTACACATCACCTTGGCACATAAATATTACTTGCAAACACAAGTAAGAAAGTATTTTTCCTGAATCAAGAAAACCATAACTAACTAAATGTTCAGTATGTTAAGTTTGTCCTATGTCAAAATCATTACTACAGCTACTATACAGCCTCAAGGATTTTCAAAACTTCCACGGAACAACCACCGAACAAAACTGACAAAAATAAGCCAAAAAAAATTTTTTTTTAAATAAAACAACAAGTTTGAACAAGTCAATTTCCAAACTAAAACCAGTGGCTGCCCAGGAGCTAGAAAAACTGCATGTGTTTCTGGCCAAGTGGCAAATCTAAGTCCAATAAATTTTGGTCTCCACCAACTCCTGACAAATTTATCAGGTGCTTTAGCTGCTAAATGCTGCATTGATTTCACTAGCCAGTAGTGATTGTATCAAAACTGGGATGTAAAGGTTTTTCACTGAAAACAGCTGCTATCTGAAAATGATGATGATGAGACCAGTGAGAGTGAAGTGAAACAGTAAAGCTGTGGACTAGAAAACCAAAAGAGCTGGTAGAATCTCAAACACTGTAGAGATCATGGGGAGATTGGTCACTATGAGTGACCCGTTTTCAAGTATTCATTTGATCCTTCATCAATATGAAAGTACTGATTATAGCGGTTTAAGTTTTCTAAAAACAGGTTTGCCACAACAACTTTACAAGTCAGGATGTTCTGTTGCCCCCAAGTGGCCAAAAAAAGTCACTCAACGTGGCTTTAGAAAATATTAAAGTTACATATCCCTCATGTTTGTGCAGGCTGTATGACCTTGCCTGTGATCTGATATATTCCACAGACTAACCTGCTGTAGTTGAAAAATCCAGTTCTGATAATCCTCCAGGCAGGTACAGAAGACCTGCAGAGGCTCCACCAGCTCACCTACAACACAACAGTGATTGTATGAATTCTCTTCCTCACTGTAGTTGGTTCTAATTCAATGCTACTGTATTCTTAGCTAAAAAAAAAAAAATATGTCACATGTATGTACAGTGTAGTTACCTGTCAGCTCAAACTGCAGCCGTCCAGGCAAGGCTGACCTCTCCACTGCTCTGATGCTATGTCGAGGCAACCTACCCTGTTAGACACGACACAAAAGAATAAGGAATCTGTAAGCTGTGCAGATATTTTTACTTCTTCACGATCGTACAATAAGTATTTTTTTTAGCTGCTGACTGAATTACACTCACTGTTGTTTTAGCTTGTAGGTTTGAGCTTGGTCACGCTGAGTCAAATGAATAATAAGTTATGCCACAAAGACCGAGCAGCTATTATTTTTCACACAGTCATTTTACACTACCTCATATCTTATATTCATGCGGTTGTTGTCAACTGACAGCAGCAAGACATCTTGAGGGAAGAGAAGCATTAGTCTTTCTTGGAGTCCCTGCAAGAACAAACCCACTGTTACTGTTGTATTGTTGTATTCACCTTTTAAACACACAGGTAGCATTTTAGAAGGATAACTGCACCTGGTATTTTTATTTTTATAATCCTGTAATCATTCCAGTTGTAACAACATTGTACTCTCCAAGAAAATTCTTGAGATTTGCTGGCTTAACAACATCATTAAACTGGAACCAGACTGAGCAAGAATCATACAGGCTATCAACAAACCCTCAGGTAAGTAAAAATGATTTGGAAGTTAAAATAAATGTGGACGGTAACTGTAACAGTGTTTTCTGCGCAGTGAGAGATAACCAGTGATGACCATCCCTTTCAGTTTTACCTCCAAAATCACGTTTTGTGGCCCACTGGACTTTGATTGCCAGTGTGTTCCAACACAACAGCACTAAACTTGGTAAGTACATTGTAATCATAACTTTAAAAAAGGCCAAAACAACTGAAATTAGGCCCAAGATGCATCAGTCTTAATAATTCTTTAACACAAACAAATCACCCATACATTATCTAAACTGCTTATTCCTGAAGAGGGTCGCGAGGGCTCTGGAGCCAATCTCAGCTGATATTGGGCGAGAGGCGGGGTCCACCCTGGACAGGTTGCCAGTCTGTCACAGGGCTGACATGTAGACAACCACACACACACACACTCACTTCTGACATTCAATTTAGAGTCGGGTTGGCTGGGGCTCGAACCCAGAACCTTCTTGCTGTGAGGCGATGCCAACAAATCATTTCCATGTTAATTTGAGATACTAGTATTGGAAAATAAAAAGAACTATTCAGTGCAAACCAAACAGTGGAAGTAGTCAGCTCATGGACAACTGAACCAAATGAGCAAATAAACAAATGACCCACTTACATTTAATGCTGTGTTTGTTTGATTCTGGACAGAGATTAGTTCTGATTCCTCCTGTCAAACCACGTTTCTATCTTAATCCTAAGTCACCATACACATGAATTCACTGATTTGAAAATATGAAGTCTATGTGTGCACTAACGATAGTTCTTTTTTGACATGCAATTAATTTTTTGTAATTTTAACAAAACTTGTTTTGGTGGCAGCATCTGAAGTATTAACAAATTTGCATTAAAGTGGTGATTATGGATACAGTTTGGCTGGATATCCATTACCCGTCTCTGTGTGTTGACGACATGGACAATAGATATGTATCCTGGCTGGCCCATGTGGTGTATGGGGGAGCCCTCCCACTGCCATATTGGAGCTTGAAGTAAGTATTTTTTCAGCTCTTCTCTTTTCCAGTGCTCATCACATGGTAACTGGTGGGGGGGGATATGTGAACAACTGATTAACAGCTACAATTTAGCCATACTGCTTTCTCAGGTACAACTACAACAAAAAAAAAACAACAAAAAAACAGTTGATTACTAGATAAGAAAGAGTGCAGTGAGTGGGAGTCAATGGTTGAGCGAATGACTTGTATCTCCTCTCTTCAATGTACTGCATCCATTTCTGTAATTCTGCAGCACTGGCACATCTGAACACCTTGGAGTCCACCACTGGACCTGGATGAAGGAGGGAAAACCACACAGTAAATCATGCTCAGTACTTTATGCTGTGTGGCCATATCTTATTCAAACTATTTCCACTGACTTACTGCTGATCTCAAACATGCAGGGTGATTGTGACGTGTCAGAGTCCAGAGAGACGGCCTGGAAGGAAAGTCCAGAGAGGGGAAGGATGCCCTGTGAGACAGGAGAAGACACTATATGATCACATTACAGGCCTTAATGCTCAACTTTTTGTGTTGATGGCTCACATTCATGCTTGATGACAGGTGATATGCCTTTTTTAGGAAAAAAAAATACACACAGAATGCCAAAAAAAGATCAGATTTGAGTCACTTCGGCATCTAGTCTGAACATATTGTGACTCAGTTTAAGCAGGAAAAAATTTACAACAAAGTCCAAAACTGGTAAGTCTGCATTACTGGTCCCTCTTACAGTTAGTTCATATCTCATCTACTCAGGCCTATATGTTAAGTTTTTTAACCTGACTGGATGTGAAACATATTTGTACCATAAAACTCTATCCAATACATGGATGTACATTAAGGCTGGATCTAATTAGCAAATAGCAGAATGAGGAGAAAAGGACAACAAAACCAACCAGGACATGCCACACAGAGGAGAGATTTGTACTTTATCAGAAGTGTTTTCATACCTTACTTTTACAAGACTGTTGCAACGGTTTTGCATGGCCTAATGTTATGTGAGTCCGATTTGTTTATCCATCTCCATTAAAGTGCTACACACAGCCATTTATCTTATGTTTCTGTGATATGCATCCATCCAAACAGGATTAGGAAGCTAACAAAAATGCACAGGGCACACATTTCAAAGAGCAATTATAAATAAGAGGCATCATTTGCAGTGCAAGCTGGTACATGTCAAATGCACAGTAACGACTTGCTGTGGTTAAGTGATGGGAGAAGCTTAACCTTGTTGGTAAACTTGGCTAAAAAAAAATGTTTGAGAAGAAAAGACTGCCTATAAGAGCATTGTTTCAACAGAAATACAAGTGTGCTGCCAACAAATCCATATGGCAGCCCCACATTATATATCCTCAATTTAAATAGGTTGTAATTTAAATCTTACATCATATGCAACTGTCTATTTATTCTTAAATGCTCAGAAATATGCTCCTGTTACTCTTTTGCATTTAAATACCGATGTTAATGTGGTTGAAATCATCATTGAAATTCATTCCAGTTCATTTTCTGAGTCTAGGTTATACACGCATGCACATGCTGAAGAAAGCATACCTCATAAATAAAGTCTTGTCGGCAGTGGTCCAGAGAGAGAATCAGCAGGTGAGAAAAGAATAACACCAGGAAGCGTTCAGTGGTTTCCTGCAGAGACAGACAGTGTTAACACCTGACTTAGTAGCACATGAATTTATAGTGTTCACTCTTCAAGCTATTTGATCAGAAGCTCCTTCAATGTTGTGTTTGTCTTTGTAATATTCACACCAACAAAACTGATCTGTTTTACTATTGTTCAATAAAAGATGTCTGACAGAAGTTTCTTTTAATATTCAGTATGGAGACACTGTATGGAAACCAACAATCAGAATGATCTAGAGGTGATTTCTATTATAATTCAGTGAGCCACACAATGCCTAGCTGCCCCCAGTGCCATGCTACCTGTGTGTAGCTGTCATAGAGAAACACCACAGAGGAGTGGATGATCTCTCCATAGGTGTGGGTAGGTTGGCCCTCCCAGCCTCTGATTAGCTGCTGGGAGTAAATCCTCTGGTGCAGTTCATCTCTGCTCCTGCCCCACAGCGCCCCCTACAGACACAAGTCAGACCACATCTACTTAAGTTCTCTGTTAAGATAAGATAGATAAGATAAGATAATCCTTTATTGTCATTGTAACATGCACAACGAAATTTAAGAGTGACCTTCAGTCGGTGCAGCAATAAAAAATAAAACATAACATATGAAATATGTACATAACCGTTATATACATAACCGCTAAAAAAATGAAATAACAGACCCCCCCCCCCCGTATGCATCGTCAAATTACAGACCCTGTTTACTGAAAACAGTGCCTTTGATGGAAAACTGCACAAGGGCTGTGTTGTATTATGTGAGTTTGGATGCTTCACATTTAGCCAATTTCTCATTCAACTGGAAAAAAGTGTGAAACCAAGTTTGTGTGGCAGCATTTCCTCCTTTGTTTCCTGTAAAATTTGAATCATGCCAAAATGGAGCATCTCTCACTTTTGTCATGGAAATTCCCACAGTGTGTATACAGAGCACGTCTGGACTAAACACAAATAACAGCATTGAGTGGAAACTGTTGATATTCATGTTAGGCGCATCGCCACAAACCCTGCTTGAACACTACAAAGTATCAAATTCTGTGTTCTTACTGTGTAAAGTGCATGACTGAGGTTTCCACTACCCTGCACAACACACAATCACACACACAGCACATAGTGACCTTTGGTTCTAAGTGTCGTACTGAAGGGGCGGGTGGTGGTGGTGATGGTGGTGGTGGTGCAGGCAGCTGCTGCTCATCTCTGCTGTTTCTCACTGACAGCTGAAGCCTGGTTTCACCCAGACTCCACACCCTGAATAAACACATCACAAATGCATTACAACATATTCCCAGACACCACTATCACATAGCTGCAGTCGGTGCTGAGGGCATAGTGGCTCAGTGGTTAGCTCTTGGACTCATTGTAGCATGGATCTGGGCAGAGTAAATGCTGAAGTGTATTTTCTGGTTGGCTTTGTCCTGCTGTCCTAAGACTCATAACTATGTTTGTGAGTCCCCTGTTTGTGTGTGTTCCCAGGTGGTGCATGCTTGGGCTGCCTGCTGCCCAACAGCAGCCAGACATAATCAGCTTACAGCAAAGACAGACCCACCTGCTGACCCTTTACCAAGTTCAACTTCAAAGTGTTTATTTGTCATATGCACAGTTAGGAAACTTGTTTCCCTGTACAATGAAATTCTTACTTTGCCGTCCACATGAATGCCACAAAATACAAATGAAATATAAAATATATTTTGTAGCCTTTGTCTATTACAGAATAATCTTTTCCCCAATTTCATTATGCACAGTTACTAAGCAGGTTTTGCATATTTACTGTGGTCTATTTATGTACAAAGATAAAGTAGCACAATTTTAGCACTGTCAAAGCAGTTAATGCATTATCCCACAGTGCAATACACAAAAGATGCAGAGCACATGACAATACTTAATATACAGTAGCTGAAATCTTACAATTAAAATTTTGGATGGGAAAGCAATAAGATCCCACCATTGTCTTATTCTTCCAAATATGTGAAGCTTTGACACATGAATCATTAACATTTTGCTCAAGTTTAAACACTTCAAGGACCGACCAGTACTCATGAATGCTCTAGTGCTTCTCATTAGGTGAAATGGTAATTTGACGATACCATTGTTTTGTGCATTTTCTTACTGACTTTTGTGTGTGTGTTTTTATAAAGGCCCACCTAGTGACTGGAGACTCTAAATGTTGTTATACTGCTGCTATATTCTTGTCTCCATATAAATAAACATTAAATAAAATGTAAATGCTAAAAATAAAAAATAAAAACTATGAATGGAGGTGGTTTAGATTTTGCCCTCTCTCACTAAATTAAATCGGTAGGCCTGCACGTTTCAACAGGGGAGAGAAAAGCCACTGTGCCAGCACGCGCTGCCATTTTAATCAAGAGTTGCCATTTCAAAATTTCCTATAGACAAAAGTGCATAAACAGCTAGCATACTAACAATTACTACATATGGATTTTTGTGTACATTTCTGCATTTCAGAACAGACTACACACACTGACTGCATGTGCAACCATAAGCAGCCGCGGACGAGGACCGCTACCTACTGTTGTGTTTAGCTCGTGCTAATCCCCCGCTGTAGACTCAGCAGGGATCTGTCCCACCCTGCCTCAGTATTATACCCCTCCGCGCTGCAGCCATTGTCTTGTAGTAATCTGCTAATCACATCAGTACAGCATCACTGAGCTCACAAGTTCATGTTGGGAGGAATAGGAGCCAAGTAGTTCTCCTGCCAGGTGCAGATGAGTGAAAATCATATGGACTTAAATCTGTTACGCGGGTGTTGTCATGATGGTTCAAGTGCTTATAATTGAACATTTTCTTAGCTACAGAACCTGGATGTTTTCTGTCTGAAAGCACAACCTGTTACTCTGTGAAAACAAGCAGACAGCGTGTACAACCTGGAAGCCACCAAACGCTCTCCAGTGTTAAAAAAAGAAACCCACAGAAGTTGAAAGACAGGATGGTGCTGTTTTCACAAATCATTATCACTTCCTCCTTCAGAGCTCACCAGTACACAAAACCACATTTTAACAAACGTAAAAGATAAACCTTTTCTAAGGTTATGATGATAAATACAGTAAAGGTTAGAATTTAAGCCACCTTCTGGATGGTGCAACGCTGATATCTGTGTAGTTCTTCTTCTACTGTAATATTTTGTTCCATTATAAGTACAGTCCAAAGTGTGTAAAATCTATAAAGGTTGTTTTCTATTTTTGAACAGGTCTTAGCTTTAAACTGTTCACTTGAATTTGTCTCTTACCCTAAATTGTCTCCAGAGAGTTCCAGGAGCTCGAGCTCATCAGGGCCCACTTCGTCCACTCCATTATGCCTCTGGGTCACACCGCAGCATCCCATGATGGACAAGCAGTCTGTTCTTCTCAGCCTCGTGGCACCTTCAGCTTCTAGTCCACACACTGAGCACAATTTGCCCAGGCAATCATCCCCACTGTGCGCGTGCCACACTAAAACCAAAGAGATAACAAAAATGGGGGCTGGTTTGCTCCAAAAGAGGATATTGTGTGCTGGAGAAGGAGAGGGAGGGGGGATGCTGCTAAGCTCTAGTTCCCCCTTTTTGCAAGCCTGTGGTGCACGTTTCCACAGAGCCCAAAGAATGAAAGACCTAACAGCTTTTGTAGAGGAATTGAAGATAAAAGTGGCGATAAGTTTTTGTTGACTCACAACGTTCAGTAGCAGTGGTTCCTTCCTTCCTGTCAGCTGGCTGTTTGCAGAGAGCTGAGCAGCTTCCTCAGTTTGGGTATTTTACACTCCGATCTCATGCTGGGAACCTGTTGACACGTCAGCATGACAAATAAAAACGGTTTTTGGTGTCATATAAGGACACGTCTGACAAACCTAAGGAGAAAAATGCAGACAGGTTGTTGAAAAGCCTATGGATGAAGCAAGCATCCTATTGGGAAAGATGGGGCCATGCCTGCCTGTGTTTGCATGCACAGAGCATGAATATGGATAGCCAAGTGAGATAATTACGAGTTGTGAAACTGAGAGGTAAAGACATGCAGTCAAAACAACAAGCCACAACAACTGTAGAGTGGAGCCTTGTGTTAATCTTCTAGGTTAGAATTACAGTAAGATGGTGGGAGGGTTGGTACACAGTCGTGTCTGAGTCCTTCCACAGGGAAGTATCTGTTCTCCAGTTTCTGTGAAGTGACAACCTGATATAAGAGGACTGATGATGTATTTTCTATTTGATACTTGCTCTTGATTTGAGGATGAAAGTAATGAGCTTCAGTCACAAAAAAAACTTGTATTTAAATTTTAACCAAGGGTGCTCTGTGTGTCAATTTCCTTTGAAAACAGAAACATGAAGCCTGTTGTTAATCTTCAAGCAATAAATGAATTTATTTTCACATTAAACATTTCTTAGCACTTTCTGAAAATTAAACACCACCATTGTCCAATGTGTAGATAATTTTAGGCAGCTTCTTTAGATCCCAGCTGTTTTCATAAAGGCATCTCACTTCCCCTCTTTTCTTGGACGAGTCTTTGTATCCACTCTGAGCTTTTTTTTCTTTGATTTTCCTCTCGTCTTCTTTTCACGTGCACCCACACACACAGGATGTCCGGTTTGAGGAGGGAGTGGTGCCATCCCTGGAGAGCCGCAGACAGAGAGGCTCTTGCTTGGTGCCGATGATGACAGCGACATGGTGATCCTCGTCTCCCGTCGAGTCTTGTGGTGATGCGAAGTGCATTTGCTCAACCTGAATTTAACCTGAGGCCTGCAGTTCTTCCTCCTGACAGCCTGTAAGCTGCTGTTGCTGCTGCTGCTGTGTAAGTGTGAAGGGTTTTGATAGAGAGGCATGCTGATAGTGGAGGTGGTGGGACAGTGGCCAGACTCTGAAGCTCCCCTTTCTTTACCATTCACTGACAGATTCACAGAACTATGAGGGGATGCTGAGGGCACATTTTTACACTTTGTTTCTGACTTACACCATCTGGATTCAGACTTTTTGGTTGTTTTTTGGTGGAATTCACCGTCTGTGCTGCTCTGGCTGTGGACCAGCGCTGATGTGGAAGGAAAAACGCCATTATAGAGCAGCACAAACTCCCTCTGACTGGCCAAAGGAAGGATCCTCCGCCTGAGACGACACTTGTTGAAGATCTCCAGAGTTATATCTAAAGAAGAGAATAAAAGAGCAGCAACAGATACAACAAACTTGCTGGGTGGTGTCACACATCAGCCTGTTATGTAAGCAAACTGTAAAGTACTGCAATTAATAAACAGAACCACAACTGCTCCATGCAAACAAGCAAAATAATACGAGGCCACATTTGGTTTAGTGGCATTAAAATAACATCAGCTGAATGCAAGTATCTGGTCTGTGAAATGTAATAAAATGATGATGATGATGATGATGATGATGATGATGATGATGATGATGATGATGATGAGCACTCACCCAGAGTCTCTGCAACAGTGCTGGGTATCACCTCCTTCAGTACCTCACAGTTCGTATGGAGAGCTGGATTACAGTTCATCTCCAGCAGCCACACCTGTTAGGACCACATGAAAACACGATCAATACACACATCGAACACTTACTGCCGTTCAGATATTCGGCAACACCTCACCCACCTTGAAGTTCTCGTCAACCATGAAGTCACAGCCAATCAAGTCAAAGAAGCCCAGTCGGCGGTCCAACTTGGATTTGACTGCAAAGAAACACTGCGTCATGATCTGCTGCATGCGCTTCTGATGCATGGAAAGGAGAAACAACCAGTGGGTCAGTGCATTGTTCAGGTCTTCAGAGTGCCACACAGTTAACACACCACCCAGGAGCTTAATTTTGAGGTGTGCAGCTCTTAGCAACAATATGTGAGAATGGCTGAATTTCTTTAAGACAGAAAGATCATTAACTTGTCTCCTCTGTTTAAATAATTCAGTAATTTCTTTAACCATGTGCTGAGACAATTTAACAATACATCAAGTCTTTATTCTCCCAAATGGGGGCAGCAGTACACCCAGCATTGTTAATACAGGGTCACCCACCAATTAACATTATCTTTCATCTGGAGTTCTGTTTTTCACCACCGGATAAATCTATGTCTAACTTTCACCCTCCTTCCAGCTCTGTTTTACTCTCCAATAGCTCCTGAGAGAAATCTCTCTTCAGCTGCTAAATGTTCACCAGTTAGCTGCTACCTTGCAGATAAGTGATGGGTAGGTAGCGTACAGTGGGTTTTCCCACAGAAAACGAGGCTGATGGGAGAAATAAACCACCAAGCTATGAAAACCAAAGCATCTTATTATGGTAGGTAAAAAAAGACCTAGTTAAGGAAACACTAGATTACACGGTAGCAGTGTCAGTCCAGCAACACAAGTTGCACTGTGAGGAAGCTTTCATCACATCACACTGCACTATTTAAGCAATGTCATTTGGTTAGTGTTAGGTATTTTTAGTCAGATAGATATTGGATAGATACTTTATGTATTAGAAATGTTTAGTGGAGATAGGATGTCTAGTTAGACTGTTAAATGCTTAGTCATGCTTATGAGTTTCTACAGGGTACATCTGGTCAAGGATAACTAGAGAGAAGAGTTGATGACTGTCAGCAGACAGGGTGTTTAATATTATTATTACGACGTGTATAACTGTAGCCTTAGCCATAATATGTTCTTATGTTTAATATCACGACATGTACTAGAGGTCGTGTGAGAATGTTTTTAGCTACTCACCACTTAATCAACAGACACACACACACATGCACATTGATTTGCTTCATGTTTTGACTACTGCTATGGCCAGCTGCAAAGCTGGTGAGAGAGACGTCCCGGTTGACGTTTCTGTGTAGTATGGGGCTAGCCCAACCGAGGGGATATAATGTATAGGCCTGGTGGGTTCAGGGTCTTTCATCTTACATCTGCCTGCGAGCAGTTTGGAGGCGCAAGATACCTGAGTGTGTAATGTTAATTTTACCTGTGATCCTTTGAATAAATCAGCATTGTTTTGAAGTTACTTGGACTGCCTCGTCTCTCAGAGTTAGCAATGGTAACAAGAACCAAATAGTCCTATATTAGCTAGATCAGCTAACCTGTTTAAAAGTGATTTATTATTAAAGTCTGGAAATTTGTGAAAGATGGATTTTGAAAATAACTAATTAAATCAGAGCGGCAGAGGTCAAGATATAATTTTTGTCTCTAATGCTCCAGAAACACTGAATCATTCACTTTCTGGTAAAGATGTTTTCAAACTAGCTTTCTGTTAAAAACTTCAGTCTTGAAACCAAAAAACACAGGTGTATCCGGTTTCATCTGTTTATTTATGGAGATATTCCCATGACTAGTGCACCGACTGACTTGGCTTTTTTGTGTTGTTCCAATGCAAACAAAAGAAACATGAGAATGCCAAAGAATTTGTGATTGCAACAATTTTCTGGGAGAAGTGGTGTGTTATCTGACAGAAATGCAGCAGGGCCAATATCTTTGGCCTTGACTATAGGTGTATAGCAGGACAAAGGGAGAACATGTTGATCTGTAACCATGTTTGAAAGCAAATCTGTGGGGAGCCACGATATAAAACAAATCTGTCAATAAAAGGTTCACACTTACAGTTTATAACAGATTTGTCTTTTGCTGTGTGTGTACAGCCAAATCTCAATCCGACTTGTACACAGACTTGGTAATAGAATAGCATACTGCATATACTTCAAAGTGTGTCACTATCTGGGTTTGAGGTTTTGCTGTGACAAGTGTAACCAAAACTAAAAATGCTACATGTGTACAGTGTACTATTTGGACACTATAGATAAAAACAAGTACCAAATAGTAAATGCAATATTTCATTCTAGTAATAAGAAGATGAGATCATCCAAACTTCAATTAGCAGCAAGCACCAACAACCATCATTATAATAGTAATTGGTCCCTAAGAGCTATAGCACACAGCGGTACTCACTGCAAAGGTGCCCAGCACCCAGTCCCTCGGCAGACCTTTGGCAACTTGAAACCTGTCATTGACGTAGGCGTTGAAGCTCTCCATGGACCACACAGTGTCCTCCTTCATCTCGCTGTACAGAGGGTTCTTCTTCTGTATGCACTGGAGATGGACAGCAGGGGGACCAGAGACACATGAAGCAGTCAGCAGGAGCAGAGAGATGGTTGGTGCCACAGTAAAAATGCTAGATCTATCCAACCTCTTTAGAAATAATAGGGCAAGTGCTACAAAGAGGGATGGGATGCAAAGCGACATGACGAGTAGCAAAGTACATTCACTCAAGTACTGTCGTTTAGTACAATTTTGAGGTACTTGCACTTTGAGTATTTCCATTTTCTGCTACTTTATACTTTGACTTCACAGTATGTCAGAAGCAAATGTACTTTTCACTCCACAATAGTTGTGATAACTTTAGCTACCTTTCAGAATCAGATTATTAAAACAAAATACAGCACCTTTTATTAGCAAACTGCTATTGTCCCATACTATCATGATTAATTTTGTCTGAGTTTGTTTTAAACATGAAAATAACTTGAGAGTTGAGCTTTGGCCATAAACAGTTAACATAACAATACAATGTACACTCTGAATTAAGACCCAGAGAATTATAACTAAAATATTAGTAAGTGGGAGTGTTAGTAGGATTGCAGCGGTATACCAGTTTCACAGTATGCCATGGTATGAAAACTGATGGTTATCATACCCTGCACATTTGTTTCTTACCATATCAAAGAAAAAAAACACAATGCATGTGCAGTTTTTTCCCCGACTGCCTGTCCAACTCCGCAACGAACACCACACACTGTGAGCAAATGGCAGAGAGAAGGAGGCTGAAATCACCAAACTCCATCCATCTATCCATTATCTATACTGCTTATCCTAACGAGGGTCGTGGGGGGGCTGGAGCTATCGAAATAATTTTCCACATTGTCTGTTTGTTAATTAATCTCTGACTTACAAAGGAACTGGCACTGATCCCGATCTGACCACGGAAACACAAACTTTCACAGCTCACATGAAAGAGTATGTGTACATGTGTGAGTGAAGGCACAGGCTCTGTGCTCTCATACACCTAAAACAAATTAACAACTTTTTTGATAATTGTTTAGAGCATTGTTACATCATGAATGAAGAATATCATTCAACATCAGTAAGACATAAAACAAACTCTAGATCAGCATGTTAATCCCTAATGAAAACAATCAATAGTTGCACCTTAATACAAAGTTTATTTATTTTTGGCAACAATGTCACATAGCAAATGCTCATACATATACAGTATACAGTATATTCATCAAGGCTTCGTGTCAGCCGCCACCATATTGCCAGGGGTAGTCTGGCCATTCTAGCCAGATTTAATAGTGGAAAAAGCCAGGCTATTGTGCTGTGTTTGCTTGTTGTCACCTAAACAATGCCAGACACTTAGAGGCAGACAACCACACCAATCAACCTAAGCCGCATGTCTTTTAAGTGGGAGAAAGCCGGAGTACCCGGAGAGAACCCATGTATACTCACTCCTGTGGACAATTTAGAGTCGCCAATCAACCTACACTGCATGTCTTTGGACTGTGGGAAGAAGCCGGAGTGCCCGGAGGGAACCCACACAGGCACATGGAGAACATACAAACTCCACACAGAAAGGCACCAGGTCAGCTGTGACTTGACCCTGGAGCCTTCTTGCTGTGAGGTGACAGTGCAAGTCACTGCTCACCATGCTGCCCGCCATTGCTGTCTTTTGTTGTTGTGGTTTTGAGGAGTATTTATATATCAACTGGTGGAAGACCATCCTCCGCGGATGGTGCTTTCAATTGTTTAATCGAAAGAATATTAGACAAGTCCTCTGTAGCTGACTTGTCTTCTGGGCACAAGGAGGGCGGTTTCGCTGCAGTCTGTAAAGCAGCCGGAGCGCTTTTAGAGAATTTTTTTTGTATAAAAGAAACTGCCCTCTGAAGTACAGGTTTTCTTTCCTTTTTAAGCTGCTGTTTGGTCTGTTTGAGTCCCGTTAACCCTTCCTGGTTCGTTATGGACTCATTTCTCAGATGTTTGACTGAAAACATATCATACAAGCCCTCTTTAGCTGACATGTCTTGTGCGTACAGGGAAGATGGTTCCTTTTCAATCAGCGGGGCAACCTGAGCTCTTTTAAAGATTTTTTTCTTTAAAACGGACTTTGCCTTCTTAGGAACTGCCTGTTGAACTTGCAGATCAACCTGCTGAAGTTTCTGTTCAGCCTTCTGAAGTTGCAGTTTAGTCTTTTTGAGCTCTTTTTCCAGAGTAAGTCTTTTGAGGAATTCTTCATTCGCCTGTCTGATTGCCGCTGCTTCAGGCTGATGTAAATACTCCATATGCTTTTGCATATGTTTGACTTGATTCTTGTTATTCTCTTCGATCCTGTCAAAAATTTCATTTCGTTTGATCAGCCACTTCTGCATATTATGAAATCCCGTCCAAGATTCTTTATCCAGCTCAATCTTCTCATTACCACGTATGTATTTTTCTGTTAGGCTGATCAATTTTTGGGCGAGCTCACGGTGATCACTGACATAAGACGCACATATCTGCAGATCCTCCTTAAAGCGCAGCTCCTGTGTCTTTAGAGAACTGACTGTAGCCTCCAGCTTTTTAATTTCAGATTCATCATTGTGAATTCTTTTTTTGAGCATTCTGACAGTCTCAAGCAACTTGCAACATAATTCATCGACCTCTTCGTGCTCAAAAGTAGATCTCAATAACTTAACTGATTGATCGTTTAGCTCATCTTCTTGACATTTAATTTGTTTGTTCAAATTGTTAAATGATGCCTTTAGTTCCTTATTACTCTGTTTCACAAAATCTAGATTTTGTTGAGCAGTTTCATTTTGTTTTCGTAAACTGACTAATTCCATTACTTGGGTTTCTATTACTCTTTCATTTGTCTTCACAGTAGCCTCTAATTTAGGCACCATTTTAGCCACAGCAGCCTCTTTTTTTAGCTGTTCATTTATCTTAACTTGATCTTTGAGCTCCCCTTCCGCTTTAATGAGCCGTTCCATTCTTTCTTTTTCCTTATTCCTCATTTTCTCGCTTTCGTTATTAAATTCCTTTTGTAGCCTTTCCATCTCCTATTTGTTTTGCTCATTAAGTTGGTCCAGCTCACGTATGTGGGCTTCTCCTTGAAGTCTCAGCTGTGTGTCTTTTTCTTGCTTGATGTTTTCGACCTCTTCTACCAATTCTTCCTCCAGGTTTGTGTAGTATGCACGAGTTTCCCGTAGATCGGCCACACTGTTGTCTAATTCCGACTTAAGCTTTTCATTACAGGCCTGGCACTTGTCTAACTCCTGTTTCAATGTGTCTGCTTCTTTTTTGGTAGCTTCTAACGTTTGTTTGAGAGTGTGATTTTCCGTCGTGAGCCTATCTATGTATTTCGACCAGTTTTCAGTTTCTTCTTTAAGTAAGTTCTTGAAATGGCTGACTTGCCATTCAAGGTATTTCTTGGATTTGTCACCGGGTGGATGATTTTCCATTTTTGTAATTATTCGATATAGAAACTACTGGATCAAAATAAAAACGTGTCTTTCTAGTTGGAAAATAAGTTCTGAAATGCCTCTAACTTAATCTCATCCCTTATGTTTGATGACATGACGTCATATGCCTTTGATGTCTCGCTCATGGGAACCACGGTGTGGAGGCGTGGCTCGGTCACGTGAATAGGGACGTTCGAAGTAGTTGAGTGCGTCTTGACGTCATACGAATCCCCGGATTGTTTCGGTTTGGTTGCCAGGGCTCTTTGGGAGAGCTGAGTCAAGCCATCGAAACAGAGACTGAGTCGACAGGGACTTGGTTTGACAGTGTTGCATTCAGTACTAAAGATTCTATAAAATTACTAAACCACGATACTCGGAGCAAAGCTCATCAATTAAACATTTGAAATGAGTCACATGCATGTGGTTGTCTGGCTGAAAGAAAGAGTTCTTAAGTCTAGAAGATCTGCATTTCACACTTCTGTCACAAACAAAGCTGGGAGACTGTATCGGGGGACAATTTGTAAGACAGATTTTATATCAAAACATCTTTGTGCTCCGCACTGAGCACCTGTTGGCTTACATCTCTCATAACATGTCATTTAAAATAAAATTCCTGCTTATAAAGACTGACCACATTTTATTTGATATACCATTAGTCTTAAAGTCGCTGCAAACCAAGCATGAACTGGAGAACCGCATATGTTTTCATGTGTTGAGAATAAACCTCTCAACATTGAGATGCTATGGTTTCACTAAATACACTGTGATCACTGTTAGCAGACAGGCTATATTTCACTACAAAGTTTTGTTTTGCCATTTCATGTCTTCCTGTTGTGTTTATTATGTTCTACACTTGATTTTGAGAACATAAAGTGACTTAAATGAAAATCCACAGTAATGCAGGCAGATATGACTGATACTATAACTGTAATAATTTAGCTTTTTTACTGCAACTTGAACTTGAAGAACTGAAGAGTGGTACGTCTGACCTCAAGGCTCCATTGTGCCTGGTTCAGGGTTCAACACTGTCTCAAGACTGAGGTCAGAAGTATCACTCCTCAGTTGTACTTAAGTTGTTGCGCTAGCCTAGCATGTCTGGGTCGTGTTTTTTCACTCTCTGCAAACTGGTTCTCTGTAGCATTGGACCTTGTTACAGTGGAGCTGAATTAAAAGATGCATCCAAATATTTGATACATCATCCCTTCATGCCAGATTTTAGCTTTGCTATTTGGGGTATTTTTTTTTTAATGAGAAACCTTCTCTGTACTAATCACTTCCTTTTCTTATAATAAGTAAGGAGATCAGTGGTTTACAGCAATAAGTCATTTTGGAGAAAATTAACATACTGTATTGATGGCTGGCTGTCTGAACAGGATGAGAGGCCTTCATTACACATGCAAACATGCATGCACACACACAGCCTCTTTAAGTTCAAGACCACAGTCTGACCTTAGCATAAATATGTTAATACAGCAGGTTAAAGAAGAAACTTTAGGGTGTTATTATAGAAAATCAATTATCATGAGACGAACATACAGAGAATGGTAATGAAAATGGAAGATCATTTTTATGAAATGAAGAGATATGGAAAATATTTGAAACCCCTTTTATACTTATATAAATATATAAACATTAAAAAACAGTGCTAAGTAGGCTATTTATTGGAACATCCAACCAGTCTTCCTTTAATGCAGTTACATCCGGTCTGTTTGTTAAATTTGAGCGCTCTGTCAAAACAATTACAAGTTCCACCTTTGTAGGGACGTGTCTTTTTCTAAAAATCTATTCCGAGCTAAAGTACCTTCCAGCGCCTCCATTCAAGTGCAGCCCTGGAGAGAAGCTGCAAGGAAGGCTTTCTTTTGATGATGCTTGTTCATGTAATATTCATCCGTGCAGTTTTTTTTAAAACCCCAGTTAAGACCAGTGAGCACATAAACTATGTCAAGGATGTTTTGCATTCTCTGACTGAGCAGTGATAAAAGACATATACCTGCTAAACTCTTGAGAATATCATTCAACATCAGAAAAGACATAAAACAAACTGAACATCTCAGCCTAGAAACACAAACTCTCCAGGCTCATATTAATGGCAGGACTGGTGGTGCTCTTGCACACCTACATTAAAACAATACCTATTTTGATCATTGTTTAGAGCACTGTGATGGTATGTCTCACTACTGTCAGAAGGTTTGCAAACCAGTCAGCCAATGGAGAAAATGATCAGCACGTTAATCCCCAATGAAAACAATCAATAGTTGCACTTGGATACAAACTAGTTCAGCAGAGCTGCACCTTAACCAACTACAACAGTCAGGTCCTGGTTGTACATTGGTGCACGAGTGATAGGCTGTTAGTGTAATAATACACTGTATAGTATAACATTTTTCTGTGTTGAGTAGCCTACTAATACTTTTAATACTTTAAGTACATTTTTCTGTTAATACTTTTACTTAACATTATTAATGCAGGACTTTTGTAACAGACTGGGCTACTTTTACAGTGTTATATTAGTACTTTTATTTAAGTAAAGGATGTGAATACTTCCTCTACTTCTTGTGCCTATATGCCAACTAACATGCTTTAGGTATATATAACATGTTAAAGTTATATCCAGTTTTTTTAAAAACAAAACTCAACTTTATAACTCCGTTTATTCTTTAGGGCCAATGTAGTGCTGCAATCCAGCCCAGTCAACTGGCACAGTCACTTGTAATAAAAACAAGACCCTTTTTTCCCCCATTCTTCTGAGGACCATTGTAGCTGACGTAACAGTAATTGTGTAATACTGTATACTGTGAAACCATAACATTTTCCGAGACGTTTAACATACCATGAAAATCTCATACCGTTGCAACCCTAAGTATTAGTTAAAGAACGTTTTTGGTTGCCTCATGGAGGCATTAACAATAAGGATATACAGCTAATATAACACATCTGTTACTGTATATGTTCATCAAGGCCACATGTTAAGCCTTGTTGAGTGGCACCATTAATATAACCCATTTTATAATTTAGGATGTATCACGGCGATGTTCCTGCAACGGCCTGACTTCCAAACAGAACTCGATCCAACAACCATGCAGATCATCTACAACTCTTGGTGTAAGCTCTGGCTTGTCAGTTAGCCCTGGTGTGTACAGTATTAGGGTACCTGATTGGTCAGGTGGGTGGAGAGGTTGTTGGAGCTGGGGTCATAGAGGTCACAGGTCAGACGTACATATCCGTGGCGAAAGAAGACCATGTAAGGTGCAGTGCAGGCAACCAGAAGGTAAGAGCGCACGTCAAACTTCTTCCCATTCAGGAGGAGTGGACTCTGGATGTAACTGAGGACAAGAGGTCCGTTTACTTTGAAGACATGTCCATGCAGCTTACTTTGAAGACAACAGCCAACTTCATAAACTACAGTGCATCCGTTTTTCTTTGGAAAATGACATTTGTAAAAAAAGTACAACAGACAATTGCCCAAACAAAATTCTCTAAGTAGTTTGTGAACATCTGTATATACACACTTACTGAGAGCAGTCTCTGTTCGCCAATCTTATCTCAAAGAGTCGCAAACCCACTTACTAGAGTTCACCAACTTTAATATGTCAGTGTTGTTTTTATGTCTCATCTCTACTTCGCTCTCATTATTCAACGCTGAGATAAAACACTAGCTGCAGATTTGGAGATGTGTATGTTTTAACTACAGCTTAAATATTCAGTGACTCTTTAGGAGTCTTTTGGTGCTTGTAAAAACCTCTCCAAGCTTCATAAAAACCTAAGGCACATTTTACCCACCAGTGACAACCTAATAGCTACATGTGTTCACCCACTGTTGGACAATGCGAGCCTGAAGCTGGCGGTGTTGAGTCTTCCTGGTGGCCTGGCTGCCCTCAACGTGCTGCAGCTCCCGTCTGAGGTTGGCTACGTCCTCCTGGCTCTTCAGCAGAAATATCCCTCTGCCCTGATTGAGACCCGTGGGCTTACAGATCCACATATGATTCTCACTGTTGCTCACACCTGATTACAGTTACAAAGTTACATGAGATAAGTGCTAAAATCCTTACAAAACAAATTACATAAACATGTATGACATTTAAGGTCATACTCGGTGATTATTCTGTGTTGTTGAGGTTACTTGTTCCTGTTCTTCTTAAATTTTGTTCTAAAGGTTATGTTATGTTACCTTCTTTATCCTAGTAACGAGGCTTGTGCTGTGTGTAAAAAAACAATCACACAGTTTGCTTTTTAGCACAGAATACTTATTTACAGCAACATTGTGCCTGCAAAACCCCATAATGCAGTTCATCTTTGCTAGATGTGTAAATTAGCATTTTGCAGTACCCGGGCATAATTAAGTACATCTACTCAAATACTGTACTTAATTTTGAGGAACTTGTACTTCAGTATTTCCACTTTTCTCATACTTTATATTTTTACTCTGTGATGGTAAGTATACAAAGCAAAGACTGCCTTAAAAATAAGATGCATTGTGATTAATTAAACCACCCAATAATATATATAGTAAATTAGTTTAAACTAGTTACAGTACAACATTAAAAGACTGCTTACATGTACATGTTGTTGCGTTAGTTATAGGACTCCTATGATATAATGACACTAACGACTACTTTACTTTTACAGTTAACTTTTTTTTTCTATATATCTACTTAAATTATGAACCCTTTTTATATGAGGACTTTTACTTGTAATGGAGTATTCCTAAATTTTAGGTACCCTACTTTTACTTAAAATCTTTTCTTCCACCACACATCAGTGATGGTCCAAACTGAGGATTCATTTCTGGCCAAAATGTCATTAAAAAACTGTTTGTTCCAGTATGTGGGATACAGTGAACAACTGAATTATGCAGACATTTCATTGTTGATAGCTTGTTTATTCTCCTATATGTATATTATTATGCTCCACTTGGTACAGTTCTGATCTGTTCTCTTTTACAGATTCATACACCACCCAGAGATCTAAACCACCTGTCTGTCTTCCTCCTGTTTACTTAGTGATAACCATGTTTGTCATAATCTGTACACCACATCTAATACTGTATGTGTGCATTACAACTAACAACACAGAATCCAGTGCATTGTGTTTCACCTCCGGTCCTTAACTTTAATGGCAAATGATCATCAATTTTGGCATCTTCAGATGCACTGTATTTTATTTGGCTCAGATGTGTACAGTGCGGCAGCAGCTTTACATCCAGATCCTGTTGAGCGCTCCTCCTTGTGTTTGTGTCTCAGCCCTGCCCTCTAATGACTCATCACTATGGCAACAGCATGTTCCCCTGGTGATTTTTATCAGGGCCTTATGGGAGGTGAAGTGCATTATTTTCCAACATCCTCACCTCTTGATTAAACAATCACCAAGGCAACTGTTGTCTTAACACCACTAAGCACAAACTATTCAATTTCTTTCCAGTGCTGAATGCATGACCAGTGAAGTTTGATTGATGTTAATCTCTACCTGGAGCCAGCTAACTAAACATAAATCCAGTCGAACCAGTGCTGTGTTATTGCTGCATCAGGATACTAATGTGTCAGAGGTTAATGTAGGGGAGATATGTTTGAGCATTTTACCTTTGTGCTGGGCAAAGAATGCCTCCCTCTCTTCTCTCACATCCATGCGGAAGGTAATGGGAATGAACTCCTCCATTTTCAGCCTCCTGTGAAGAACAGCACATTGCACATGAATCATACTCTAGATTAATATTGACCACATTTCAAAAGCATGTTTCAGTCACGATTTCCAGCTACTGTTTTCAGCTACAACCTGATAATGCATTACAGAGGTCATGTTTGCTTTAAATGTTTGAACAGTTATGTTCAGTGGCATAATACTCACTGTGACTGTGGGAAAAGTAGGAAACACATTTAGAAGATGAAAAATAATCTAAAGTATGCTGGATTTGTTGTAAATGAGCTAACAGAAACACTAGTATTACAACTGGTATGGCTTGTATAGCATATCATTAGTGATGAACACAAAAATAGATTTTCCAGTTTTAGTGTATTAGTAATGATATTTTAGGTCAAAACCATTTTTAGTTGTCAGCAAAAGTTAGTTATTTAAAAATCGGTTGCACTAGCCTAATTATTTTAGTCTGTCACATACTGTAGGCACCAGTAAAAGTACAGTGTGTTGTTTTTAACTCTTGAATGAAATAAACAAAAAGAAATAACATGTTAATATGAGAACTTTAAAGGTGCTGGTTGGCACAGAATCTATGATTATGCAAGTAGTTCTGTTTCAAAACTCTAACTACTAAACACAACATTTCACCTAGGTCCCTGAAAAGTCCATTTGAAGACTGTGTACTAGAGTTTTCAAGGTTTCACACAACACCTGTTTAAGTTACATATTGGACAACGGTTGACTTCTGCACTGGCTATGATTCACAAAATCCTGCTGCCAACAAAGCAGTGACCTCAGAGGCTGAGAAAAGAAGCCAGTGTGGAAGTGTTAAAACCTGCAGTTCCTTGAATGGTCACTTGAGGCTGGCTCCAAAAGGGAGTCAGTCGCCATAGACTCCCTTAGGAAGACCTAATTTGTGATGATGCAATTTGGCTGACCACTTCACCTCAGTCCGTGACCATGACCGACTTTGCTGCTGACTCGCTCGTACTCCCGCAGACTGCTGAGGAGGCCGATCTTAGTTGTGAGTACACTATTGTTGGGAATCTGGTACACCAGCTGTTTACCTGGGAGCAACACATGAGGATTTAAAGTTTACCTTCTGCAAATGGAAGGCAATACAGCCACTTCTAAAAAGAGTAATAAAACAAAGAATAAAACATCAGCTTTATTTTTCAGACACAGATATTATATGTCCATTGTAGTAACACTGTGGTAAATGTTTATTGTCGGGGATAGTAAATACAGTAAAATACAGGATCCAGATTATGTTCTGTGCACTTTCACTACCTTCTCTGAAGTTGCAGTAGTTGGCTGGAGTTTTGGTCTCACACCATTTGAGTTTGAAATCTTCTCTGTGCTTGTTGTAAATCCTCTTCCAACCTCTGCTCTCACAGTAACTGCTCACTCTAAAGGAAAGGTCCCAGAAGTAATCAGCGCTACTTCAGCTATATTCACACAACAATCCAGAGGCCAGGGAGAGCACGCTAAAACCAGGGCTCAACAGATAAGTGGCCAAAATATAATATGCATCACGTGAATGATGCTTATGTGAAAATAAATTCAAGTCTCTATTTAAAGGTTACACACTTTCTAAAGATTTAGATCTTCAAACAGGGCAACTTCATATAGGCTGTTTACATTTTTCAAATATCTGAAACTCCAACACTTTTATTTCATGTTTTTCTACTTACATTTCAGCGCCATTGGCTCCGCCAAAAAAGTAGAAGGGGCCGGGCCCCTGGGGCTCCTCTGCCTGCCGCTCCCTGTCCCTGTCTGGGCAGGAGCAAGTCCTTGAGAAGGAGTTGGGCAGGTATCGCTTTAACAGGCATGCACCTGATGTTTTTACATACATAAGCACACAGAAATCAAGCACAGACAAGTACTCATACATTCACCAACACATAAGCTCCATCACGTTTACACACACACAGTATATTATGTTGGTGTCACACAGTTACACAGTGTCACACATCAGCTGCATGCCACTTATGATTATGAATGGAAAATGCTTTATTTCACAGCATTTAAATGTGCAGATTAGTATTTTGTTGTGCTGCAATAACGGATATATGAAGAGAATCTCAAATGAAATCACACTTGACGTCCCATTCTTCCCCACACACACCTGTTCTTTCCTCTTGGCTTTCCTGGTCAGTCATATGGGAAAGCCTCTTTCTCTCTTAGTGAGTCTGTGTCTTCTCCTTCTGGACCTGCTCCAGTTCACCTTGTGATGTCACTTCCTAAATGCTCCTCTGATCAGGTGGCCACAGCTGCTCTCCTTGCAACTCCTCCTCCTTCAGACTTCCTGTGGGCTCGATGTTCACACAGGAAGCTTCCACTTCCTCCTCTGCTACTTCACCTCGCTGCTTCTCCTGTCTGGTCTCTTTTACCTGGTCCTCACTGCAGGGCTCCAGCACTCAGATGACATGACAGTTCAAGATGAGCCAGCATGGAAGGCGATGTAGATCTTTGGTGTGCAGTGTTGTAAGCAATGGAGATCATAAATGACATTTTTTTTAATTGGGAGTCAGAGCAGATTGAAGATTTGATGGAGTAAATAAGAGATTCAGTTTACCCTTCATTAACAGTACAGTATATTGCCATAAGAGATTGATTTCTCAAACATGCTAAAGTCACGGCTCTAGTATGAGAACGGTGAACCCTTCCTTTAGCAACACCATCAGACTGAAATGTCATGTTAGCTCTCACTACTGATAAAACTGTTAAAATCTGTCTGGTTTAATGAACACTTCAGCCTCTTGGGGTTCTAGCACCTTCGGGCAAAATTAGCTTTTTTATCTGTAGAGTCCCAATGCAATATAACATTATAATCATGATGCCACAATATAACCAGAGTAGTATAAACTTTAAAAAAATAAAAAAAGAGGACATGAAATATAAGTTCAATTTTAAAATGCACTGTTTGTATTAGATTCTGAGGCAAAAGAGTTTACCTGCAACTCCAGTGTCACACACACACACACAGACAGCCAGACTGCATGGAAACCTATCCAGCCTGTTCTTCTTCCACCACGTGTGCTCAACCTTGTAGTCCAACTGCAGGGCCCAGACAAACAGCAGACTCACAGAGGGAGGACAAACTTGACAGAGGATAAGGTTATATACACTCTCTGCAGTTTAGCACAGTGCAAGTAAGCAAACCCACTAGACGAATGTAAACAATCACTGGTTACTTGGGTAATGAGACCCTTGGCAACAGTTGCCTCATGTACACTGAATCTTACAGCAACAGCTCAAGACAAAGTATCTACTCGTGATTATGTATCCCACACCGACCCCACCTCTAAGTTTAGCTTCATTCAATATTAACTGCTTATAAGCCTCTGTTGTGTGAACCCTAAGGTAACATGAGAGCAGTGTCAACCAAATTTCAATGTTCCAGGCTATTATATTCTGACACAAAGGGTAAAATAATATTTTCTACAGGCCTAGAGACATTGTTTTGCAATGTTGTGTTTTGTAGATACTGGTGTCTACATTACATTTTATAATGGTCAACTGTTTCTTATGCTACCTTATGTTATCTAAGCTAAGCAGCATACCATGTTTTAGACATCGTATGCAATATGAAGTAGGGGATAAAATAAATTATAATCAGTATGTAAAACGTCTAAATTAATTCCACCTTCAACAATTTAATTCAAAATGATGTGAGCTGTCAGTTAATCTGGACACTCTGTTAAACTGAAAGCCTCCAAACATCTTACAATGAACATCAATTTAACATTAAATTATTCAGCTGAATCATTCATTTATGGCCAACATTGTCATTAATCATATTGTCTAGTGCCAAATCCAGTAGCAGGTATGCAGTTGAGCAACATAGTATTTGTCTGCATGCATGGCAAATCCACTAATCACCTTCTGTCTCGGTGATTTTACTCAGGAGGAAACACCCATGAGTAGCCATGGCTGGCAATTATGCATAATCTCCTCTCTTCCTCCCAACAGCCTGATAATTGACAAGAGCGGGTCCCTCCTAGACCCAGCATCCATGCAACCATATAATTACACATAGCAACGTCTCACACTGATGTAGTCTAGGCACACATTCACACCCAGCGGAGAACACATTTAGAGCGGGTCAAACTTCCACGCCATAAAAAAAACTAAACTAATAAAATGGGGAACAGCCCTGCAAAATAAGGTGCAAGTATAAAACCTCTAACTGATGGGTTAGACAGGTGACCACAATATGTCAAATAAACTAGCTGCTTGTGAGTGTGAATTTGATCTAAAGGCTCTGGTTTACTTGTAATTAAATGATATGTACTTTAATGAACCCAGTAAAAAATAAATAAACAAAAAAATAACCTCTTCCTCCATGATTCTGACAAATACTGTGCAAATTATAGGCCTCATCAGACCCTGTACATGCCACACATTTACAAGAAAGTAGCAATAGTCACCAGACAGTCTTGTCAGTTCAGTCCTTTACATGCACCTGGTTGTAAATGTCTCATTGACTGCAAGTGCCTGAGTACACAACGGCAGCGATATGCAAGGGCTGTCTGGCACTAATACAAGTTTAGTCATGGCACCCCAGTTATTAGAAGCAGGACTCCCATATCCCTGTTTAACAAAGCTTTGTGTGGAGCCAGCATCAGCCACACCTTGATAAAGAGCCACCATCTGATAGACAAACGGCGCAAAGTACTGCGTAGGAGGACAAAGAAAACAGGCTTGTTTTACAGCTTTGTCAACCTCATGGTTCACCATCTGCCAAGAGGCTATATGTGTGTGTCTGTGTACGCGCCTAGCAATGCTCTCATTATGGGGACTGAAATCTGTTTACACACTCAAACTGTGGGGACCAGGCCTTCCTCATCATGTAAATCATTAAATTTGGTTTAAGGTTAGGTTTATTCAAATAGTGGGTATAGCTAAGGGCAGTGTCCCCAGGAAATGAATGTAAGTCAGTGTAAAATCCCCATAAGAAATAAAAACAAATGTGTACAAGATGTGTAAAAGTATAAATATATGCTTGTGTATTTTACTACATTTGTGTACACTGTGTGTATTCCATGCTTAAAATATAAATTTACTTTCCTTTTTGAGTTTGATCAGTAAAGTACTGTTGTGTGGGCTACAGTTTGACTCCCCCCAACCGCTCATTTTCTTTATGAAGGTGCGTGCCTACATGTGGCGCTCATCTGGCAGCTACCACTGATCATATTTACTCCAAACAAACCTCAAACATAATACAAACTAAATCTCTAGATCACTTCCTGTCGAAAATCAAAGAACTTTCCTGAGGAAAGGGTGTGCGAAACAAATACTGTGCAAATGGAAAAACATTTCAGCTACATGAATATTATTTTATATCATTATCTGAAATTTAGTCGTAGTGTGCCTGCCAATCTTGTCTGTCTCTGGGTGGTGACACCATAAGGTATGTGTATTTGTGGTGACTCACCCATTCCCATGTCATCTCAACTGCCATCTGTACCAGGAAGTGCTCAGCAATTACAGGGATGCAGCCCACAGCAATGGTGTCCCTACACAACCTATTATTTGCAGAGATTCTCCTTGTCGAGGTGTTATAGTAAAAGGACTGGAGTTAAGTTACGATGTCAAAAAAAGGCTCAGCTCAGTAGGGTCTTTCTCTCTCTCTCTCCTGCTATTCATGATTTCCTTATAGAATTACACCAGTAAAGCATAGGGGACTGTTGTGGTCGGGGGGGAAATTGTGTTCCCAACGTCCGTATTCAGTTATTCCCACTGGTGACAAATGCAAGATGGAGACAAAGTCATCAAATTTCACCAACATGTGAAATGTACATAATGTGCAAATTTCTCAGATAAACAACTGTTTTATGTGAAATAAATTTATAGATACTGTTAGGTATTTTTAGTCAGATAGATATTGGATAGATACTTTATGTATTAAAAATGTTTAGTGGAGATAGGATGTCTAGTTAGACTGTTAAATGCTTAGTCATGCTTATGAGTTTCTACAGGGTACATCTGGTCAAGGATAACTAGAGAGAAGAGTTGATGACTGTCAGCAGACAGGATGTTTAATATTATTATTACAACATGTATAACTGTAGCTTTAGCCATAATATGTTCTTATGTTTAATATCACGACATGTTCTAGAGGTCGTGAGAATGTTTTTAGTTACACACCACTTAATCAACAGACACATACACACACACGCACATTGATTTGCTTCATGTTTTGACTACTGCTATGGCCAGCTACAAAGCTGGTGAGAGAGACGTCCCGGTTGACGTTTCTGTGTAGTATGGGGCTAGCCCAACCGAGGGGATATAATGTATAGGCCTGGTGGGTTCAGGGTCTTTTCATCTTACATCTGCCTGCGTGCAGTTTGGAGGTGCAAGATACTTGAGTGTGTAATGTTAACTTTACCTGTGATCCTTTGAATAAATCAGCACTGTTTTGAAGTTACTTGGACTGGCTCGTCTCTCAGAGTTAGCAATGGTAATAAGAACCATATCCTACAATACTGTATGTGGCGTCAGGGGCCGTAATATCGGTTTTTACTCTGAAAACAAATTTCCCCACAGGTATCACAGTTCTCATATTATATTAAACACTTCATTCAAGGTTCTGGTGATGTCCCTTCTAAATAGCAACTCTGTCTCTTTTACATGAACACACACACAGACTGACAGGAAAAACCAGACATAGAGGCAGTTAATAGCAGGCTTCATGGTACTGGTTATCTGGGGAGGACAATGTTAGACCCTGAGGCCAGGTAACCCCAAGTTAGCCAGAATTATCTGAATTTACTTGGTAGTACAGGCACCTGATGGAAACATCCGGGATTAACATCATTCACAAAGTTGGTTACTCCCACTCGAGCTATGAAAAGATACAGGAGTCAATACCACCTGATTATCAATTGGAAAATGACTCAGCAATTTCACAACAAAAGACTTTGGAGAGTTGACATAACAGCAGTCAATAACAGTCTTCATGTGCAATAGCACAAACCTGACATATCAAGTCTGCCAAAAAAGATATAACGTTAGTCAAACATACATTTGACAGGACAAGTCTAATCAGGGGCGTGCTCTGTTTTCATGTTGCATTTTACTGCTATGAGCTAGTTAAAGCAAGGCAGCTACTTGTAGCTCCAAGTTCACTACAAGTTACATCACAATTGTAAAAGTCACAGTATGACCCCTAAGCAAATCCTGACAGGTTAGCACGAATATAGTTTACCCTACAACGCTAAACCTCAGGGAACTAACTGCCACATAACAAACTCGTCCATTCATGCCTACTGCTGCCTGCATGTGGCAAAGTTACTAGATCCCAAGACTCGGGAGCAGGCAGAGGTAACTGCTTCAGCTGAGGTCTAAGCATGATAACACTCGACTTATTAGGGTTAAGGGGAAGCTCAGATCTACAGAAGCTCTGACATTTACATGACGTTAATCGTGCCTGCTTTACGTGCTTCACAACAATGACACTGTGGCGTTTGCCAACAAGCGTGTGCAGATGTGTGGCGGTGCCGACAGAACAGCTACCGACCAGCCAGTACTCTATATAGTTTCTGTAAATGGGCGTGTTTATGCAGTACATGGCCAGCTGCTGTATATTTACTGTGGTTGCTAAAATGAGCTAATGTCGCTGCTAACAGTTCCTAGTTTACAGACAACACTTTCATTGTTTTGACTGAAGCTATAGTTACCTAGCTTGTCCTGCAGTTGCACCAACCCTTTCTCGTTCCCAGGTTGCCAGATACTGACGCTTTGGGAACCAGCTGACCTCTCAGCTAGGCAGAGGACCGGTAGCCCGGAAATACACCGGTCAGGCATCACATTATGACCACTTATACATCTGTATGCACGTCAATGCAACACTTCTGCCTTAACATTTGTGTTTATGAAGCTCAAATTGTCGTAAATGTGTAAAATCAATTATATGATCATTATTGAGGTCATAGTTAAAGGTGGTGTTGTACTGGACTACTTTATATTTAGAGGTGTTTGTATATTTTTGTCCTGCCCATTGTCATACACGAGAGGGTCAGAATATTAGGAACACCTCTGAATATAATGTAGTCCAGGATGGATCACTGATTTCTTACATCTTTAGTTGAAATATGCCACACACACACATAATACATATAATCAGGTGACTTTTTCTAAGAAGGTGGGTGGAGTGTTTAGGACTATTTTTGACTGTTACAGGAAGCTAGAGTAGGACAGGGCTCCAGGTTTGACAGTAGGCTTTCTTATTTGCACTGTAAATGAAAAAGAATATGCTATGTAATAATATTCTATCTGAGTGTATCAGAAAATGTCC